CACTATTTTCCACCGAGATCAGATAGTGTTCAGCCACTACACTATTTTCCACCGAGATCAGATAGTGTTCAGCCACTGCATTATTTTCCAACGAGATCAGATAGTGTTCAGCCACTGCACTATGTTCCACCGAGATCAGCTAGTGTTCAGTCATTGCATTATTTTCCAACGAGATCAGTTAGTGTTCAGCCACTCCACTATGTTCCACCGAGATCAGATAATGTTAAGCTATTGTCCAATTTTCTGCTTTGTTTATATCCAGACTATGTTCATTAACAGGTTCATGGAAGGATCTCCAATTTCCTTTAATGTAGATGGCCTTATATGCATAATAATTTCCTTTCAAATTTGAGGGATTAACAAAACAGTGTCTTTTTTTACAGTGTGTAGATTATAGGAAGTCTAACAAGAGTATATTTTAATGTCACGCCTAGTTTATGTATGATTCTAATTGAAAAACCGGACATTTTCACAGCGTTCCGCAATTGTTTAGTCAGTTCATTGGTGATATACTTTATCATCTTGTACTTTAATTTTACTGCATTATTCTACAATTATAGTTTAAAAATGACTTGCTCACTCTTCGTAGTGTTATTTAATTTTATCACATTGGATTTCCTTGTATTATTTTTATATTTATCCTTGTCATTTCATTCCAGCCCAAGGAACTGGCGGGCCATCAGAGGGTTGCGCCCATCTCTTTGGTTAATAGATGCAATGAAACTGACGATTGGTAGTAGTGTATAATGGACGTGTAAGAGTAAAAAGTCTCGAAGGCAGACGTATGGATAATGTTATGATTTGAAAATGAAGTTTATTTGTGTTTCAACGACAGAATAATCGGGGGAAAAAAGTAGCTAGTATGTAATATTTCCTTATGTAAAAATAACGATTGTATAATATTCACGATTTAAACGCCGACAGCTGGCGAAGTATTAGAAACCAATATGCCCAAAATTTCCGATGAAACTCCAGATGCCCCCTACACTCCAATTAATATCTTTTCCACTACATGTCTCAACCCAAGAGGCATTGCCAGCACTTGTCAGTCGGGCTGGACGATGAGAGACAAAAGATTCTGTGAAATGCAGTATAGTATTTTAATATTCTCGGTTTAAACGCTTAAAGCTGGCAGAGTTCTGATCCTAAACGAAAGCCCTCTTGAGCAGTGACTTTTGGGAAGTAAGGGATTGATATTAAATGCTAATTTTACACATCACTTATTTTGAATCCGCAGTGAACAAATTTAGAGGAATGTGGGAAAATATCTGCAGTTAACGTAATTTTTGTCACAAATTTTGGACCTGTGGGTTTCTAATGCTTCGCTGTTTTCAGCGTTTGAGCCATAATGTTTGAAGTGTTATACTGCATATATATTTTGCGTTTCGGGTTTTTTTTTTACCTGAAACCTTGGAAGTTTTGTAAAATCCCACTTTTCTTGAAACCAATAAGCCTTATTCAAGAATTAGTTGCTACCGTCAAATCAGTGTTATAAGTATATTTAGTGAAATATATGAACGTGTCTTTGTTAAGTGTTTACACCGATTTCTTGCAAACCACATCTGGCATCACATTGAAGCTCCAATCTATGCCTATCCCACTTTGTTTTTTCTCGAATGCAGGTTTTTAAAGGCTCAGTTCTCTCACCTCCATCTATATTCTGTATATTTAGGATATGCGATAGTCTGTACGTCCTATTTAGATTTTTCAGTATGCAGTCTGCTGATGATATCATAAATATTTATTGTTTTGATTGAATCATACACAAATCCCGATACCTTTAATTTTTAGATACCACGTTCACGTACAAACTTCAATAAACATCTGAAATGGAAGGCTTACCTTGCAAAAATCAACTTTAAGGTCTCATAACGACTCAACCTTCTGTGGAGTCTGCCCGGAACCACTTGGGATTTGAATTCACCTCTTCTTCCCTATTCTTACAAGGCCTTCATTCGTCCTTTCATTACCTACGGCCAATGATCATAGTTCATGAATATTTTTATTTTTACGAATGACTTACGGTGCTAGAACGTTATGCCTTCCTTTTGGTCTTCAACATTAAGTTACCCGGTCCAACTCGGTAGTTGAATGATCCCTTCACATTTCCCACTATTCTTCATCATCTTTAGTAGCTTCGTGTAAAATATCACACGCTGCTTACTTACTCACAGTGTCATCATTGCCAACTCTGTATTCATCCTTCATGACAGGTGCTTCCTCCAGCTGAACTTCTCTTCAACACGTATTAGATGTTTCTTCCAGAAGGTGATCCAAGACGTATGGCTTCCTCTCTGGAAAATTTGTCTCCGTATATTTATCATTCCTGAAAATGTTTTTCCTTTCTCATATCTCTCTTCCTTTCCAAATTGAATAAATAAAGTTTAGAATTACTTGATGAGCTTCAATTCACATCCTTTAGCTTCCGTTTTGGAATCATACTACAGTAAAGTTTACTCATTCTTTATCAAAACACATGATGCTCTGAAGTTTTACCTCATGGCTGAAGAGAGGGCGTAACTTTCTGCTGGTCCGCTAGCCCAAGGAGCCAGAATGAAATAAGAGTGGAAAAAGAGAGAAAACAAAACGTATTTCGTCTCTCATGTCCAGCTCAACTAACGTGTTCTAGTAGTATGCGAAAGGCCTCTTCGGTAGTGAGTTATGGGAGACAAGAGATTGACCTGAAATGCTATTTTCACACACCTCTGACCTTAAATCTACAATGGACATACTAAGGGGAATGTAAAATAAAACAATAAAAACATTTGCAGTTAACGTGACTTTTATTACCAAATGTAATAATGTGGGCCTATTGGTTTCAAATGTGGGCCTATTGGTTTATATTATATTGTTTACGTATTGCCACGGGTTTTTGACAATAGGAATGATCATAGGCGAGATTCACTCATGTACGCGGTTTAATGTTTAGAATACAACGGTCTTAATTTTAGTGATAGAGTTCATTACTGAAAATGTATGCTTCTGATGAAGGCGTAAAGCCGAAACGTTGAACAAATATAAACTCTAGTCAGCATAACATCAGTTTTAAAATGTGAGTAATATTATTTCCTCTATTTCCAAAATGTAAGGTCGCCTATTGTAATTTCAATGTGAATATGTATATGGGTGTGAGTAATTCGGAAATAGTTATTAACTACTTGTAGTATAGAAAGCCATTTGCTGCAATGCTTATCAAATGATGATATTCTAGTCACTTTTCATTTATTTTCAGGACTTTTGAAGCTGCATTTCCAAGTGTGTATAAGAAAGTCACGAATCTTGTAAACTAGTGACATTAATAGGCATTTAAATGAGTTTGACGGAATGTTCTATTTAAAAACAACAACATATTCTGATTCCACTCATCTGTAGTGGATCCTACGTGAATGACGCTTAACACACAAGTTTTTCGGTCTGCCTGTGTTGAAAACTTGAGTAAACGAACTTTATCCCATGCTTTTGCCGTCCATCTTTTACAACATCAGGTATGAATACCATGTTCAACCTTTTCGTTTCTCGTATAATACGAAAGTTAAAGACAACTTTTAACATTTTAAACTCCCTGTCCCTCTGCAATGATATCATGAGTTCGTTCAGTATAATAACTATCTGTTCTATGGGGCCCAGCATGAGCAGGTGGTTAGGGCACTCGACTCGCAATCTGTGGGTCGTGGGTTCGAATCCCCTTCACACCAAACATGCTCGCCCTTTCAGCCGTGGGGACGTTATAATGTGACGGTCAATCCCAATATTCGTTGGTAAAAGAGTAGCCCAAGAGTTGGCGATGGGTGGTGATGACCAGCCGCCTTCCCTCTAGTCTTACACTGCTAAATTAGGGACGGCTAGCGCAGATAGCCCTCGTGTAGCTTTGCGCGCAATCCATAACAAAAAAAAACTGTTCTATGGTAATCGAAGTGTTTGATCTTAAGTTTCTAGGTTAGCCCATTTATAACGCACATCTAGCTCAGTTAGAATATTTATCTCTCAAGTTTTTGTTTGTTTTTATTTAAACTAAAGCT